TCAACCAAACGGAACAAGTTGTGCTTGTATATGAATGAAGAAAAGCTATTACACAGTGGCAGCACTGAAAAATTGCATGTGAAAGCAGCGCCTTACGGATTAGTAGGAGCTGGAAGAAGTCACAATTAAATTATGTTAAAATTATTATAATACAGTAGCGCATAATTTTAAAACTTGCATTCACCACATTTTTTTTTTTATAATTTGTGACATTGCAGTTACATAAATTTATGAATTTNAACACAGTCGCAGCACTGAAAAATTGCATGTGAAAGCAAGCAGCGCCTTACGGATTAGTAGGAGCTGGAAGAAGTCACAATTAAATTATGTTAAAATTATTATAATACAGTAGCGCATAATTTTAAAACTTGCATTCACCACATTTTTTTTTATAATTTGTGACATTGCAGTTACATAAATTTATGAATTTAGAAAATGAAATTAAATTTTGTTTTTAATGAATTTTACTTTTTAGTTTAAGTACATTCGTTAAAAAATCACGCTGAAAATCTCTGGAACATTGCAGCTCATTGAGAATTGAGTGATTTCGTTAGTTTCGGAAAGTATCGAAAGCCAAAGGGCAAGGATAAGAAGAGTGTACAGTAAAAGAGCTGTAGCTACATAAAATTTTTATATACAGTTCGATTTATTTCTTTTTTTTTTTTTAAAGATTAAATTAATATTTATATTTTTTAATTTTAATTCTTAAAANCTGATTTCGTTAGTTTCGGAAAGTATCGAAAGCCAAAGTGCAAGGATAAGAAGAGTGTACAGTAAAAGAGCTGATAAAATTTTTATATACAGTTCGATTTATTTCTTTTTTTTTTTAAGATTAAATTAATATTTATATTTTTTAATTTTAATTCTTAAAATTGTACTTAACGTTAGGAGTTAGCATTACATAATCGAATATTTGTGTGTTACATATTACTGGGCGGTCCGCGGTTGCGGTGTCCTTGCGCTTGTCCGTTATGCCTAGAGCCGGGACGCGAATGTACAATCGCATAATTGTCATTGTCAATGGGAATCGACCTTCAAGAATACACAATTTTTAAGCAAACTATTTCTGGTTATTGTATATTGCTTGCAACAAATGTACATATGTATATGTAAATAAAAATTAAAATTTGCAGTAGAGTTTTAGTAGTGGGCGTGTGAGCATTGAGTGTGCATTTGAGTATATAAGTAAATATTAAGTTGTTGTAAAAATAAAAGAAAATAAAAATGAGTGACATAAATATGTTACAAAGTATTTACATTTTAGTGAAGTTAATATTACCTTGCTTTGAGCTTCTTTCGAAAATTATTAACAAACTATTCGTGTTGAGTGAGAAATAATTTGAGTGAAAACTATGACCGCTAAACAGTTAGTTACAGCATAGAAATACCTACATACCTACAATTTGTGTTATAGAAAATTTGTGTTGTTGTTTTATTAACTTATCTCTCGATTTACTTATTTATTTTTGTGTTTTTTTTTTTCGTTTTTACTTTAGTATTTGTACTCTAAAATTAGTTGTTAAAACATTTAAATTACATACACATAAACACATACGCATACACATACAACTTGTTGTTTTACACTGTATGTACTGTACGATGTTCCGTATAAGTAGTAGTGTTGCTTGTCGGGGCCAATGGCAGTAATTTTTCAAAACAATGACCATACGAAAGGAAGTGTTTTTGTTTTTTAATTTTTAAGTCGTTCGGGCATGCATTGTCTTCTCCATGTTTTCCTTGTTTTTGTTCTTGCTTTTTTGTTTTTTGTGTGTGTGGTTTTTAACACATAGTATGTAGCACAGAGACATTTATACATACATAGTTATTTTTAACGCATTGTTATTTGCTTAATTTGTTTTAAATGTTTTTCTATATATATTTTTTTCTTTTAGTTTGTGTCATCTTAATATCTATCAGACCTATTCGAGTGTATCGTTGAGCCACCGCTTGTGTAACCTTTATGCGCGTCGCGCCCATGCAGTGAGTAACGCGATCCATACTGACTACCATGCCAACTTCGGTACGGATCGTATTCTTCAATGATGGATGGTTCTTTTTCGATGATCTAGATTAGTTACAATGACAACCGAGAAAAAAGATGATACACAGGTTAAGTTTCGAGATTTCGACAATGAATGATTTGGTTAGTTGAGATAATTACCTCGGTATTCGCACAACTGCAGCTCATTGCGGTACAAAGGAAAATATTCATCAGCAACATGATTAAGAAGAGCACGCCGAGTGTGATGGCCAACCAGAGTAGCCATGGTGGGCGAATGCCATCTTCACAGTCACCGCTAATTACTGGAATAGAAGGAGTTTTGTGGATTTATTTTATTGTAAAAAAAATGTGAAATTTGATGGATATTCATAGGCAAGTATTCGCATTTATTTTAAGCTTAAAGACCTTAGAGGATTCACAAAAAAAAAACATCGGGTTTTTTTGTAATTTTAACAGAGCAGTTTCA